GCTAAAATTCTATGAAATAATGAAGTATTTTATCACTTACAGCTTGAAAACTCTAGTGGACAGGAATGTTCATCCATAGGAAAGTTATGAAGTTGAAGGTAACATTCTGCATTAATTGTCAATCTGTACAGATAGAAAAGTAAATACTGAACAACTCAATAATTTTAATCATTAAAAATCTGTTTATTTTTTAGTAAGATTTGGGCTTACAATAGCAATGTTTGCAACATTAGAATATAGTAATACTAAAATTAAGATCCCAAACTTAAATATTCCACACTTGATCTTAGCCAAAAGGCCGAGAAGCGATCCAAACTTAAATATTATAACTTTAATACATGACCGTGATCATTCTAATAATTTTGCTCCAAAGAGTCAGCTATCTCTGTGTACACTGCAAAATGACCTCTGGACTTTACAGTTAAAAATTTATGTCTAAAATAGCCTTCTAAAGATTATAAAAATCTCCCCAAATGCACACGTGCACACCACATGTGCTTTCATGTGCAAGATAAGCACATTTTACACAGTTAAGTGTGAGGATATCTTCTCTTACTGTATCATGAACATTTTTCTACTATGAATGATTCTTAACATGCAGGTACAATATGTTGAAGGAAATTAATTAACCTTGAACCTTATACATCAGTTTTTTCTTGGACATGTTTTAGTCACTCTTGACAATCTGATTATAAAATTTTGTAACAGTATACACTCCAAGAGAAAAATCATTGATTTACATTACAGCTTAGAAAGTATTAGTGGTTATATAACAACCTATTTTGTATCTAGGAAAAGAATTGTAATGGCCAGCCAAATAGCTCAGCAGATTGAAGAGACTGCAAGTAGGCGCAGAGGCTAGGGGTTCTATCCCCAGGCCTGCGGTGCTGGCCCCACCCCCTGGGGGGCGCTGAGATGACAATTGTGACTGGGTGTGGTGGCCCGTGCCTGTAATACCAGTTCTTGGGAGGCTGTAAACAGGCGGATCACTATGAGTCCGATCTAGTAGTGAGACCCTGAACACCCTGCAGACCCTTCCCTAAAATACAGGAAAAGAAAAAGAGAAATTTTAAAAATTGGAGTTTTTTGTTCTTTTTTTTTTTCCTTAGCTGTAGATTTTTTCATATAATAGAACTGTGAACTTTAAATAAAAAGTATTGTCAGAATATTTTGCCATTTGGAACTTAGCATCCGAAAGGAAAACTGTATTTCCTTTATTGCAATGTGGAAGAATAAAACTTTAAAAGCTAGTCAAATCTTAGCTTAAATAAACTAGAATGACTGTAGATTTTTTAGAGCAGTGTTACCTGAGGGTATAAAGAACTCGTCCGTCATTCCAAATTCTCAGCAGACGATTAGGAGTCGTTATCCAGTGTGCATCAGATTTTCTTGAGTTTCTGAAGAAAGTGTCAGGAATCCAAATTTTCCCAACCATGTTACTATTAAGCATCAGCACTTTCATGGTACTGTTGAATTTCAGACGACTGTCGAACCAGGTTTGGGCAAAAATTATATCTATTGTGTATTCCTAAAAGATACAAACAATAATCACATTTTAGTAAAGCCACTAATTTTATATTTTCCTTAAAAGACTGAATTTTTATATTTTAAAATGCTAGTAAATAGCACTTACACTCAGCCTTTCTTGAGAAAAAAAAGCCACTGTTTTAACTTTTAATTAGTACATGGGTTACACAATATAAAATTCAAACTTTACAGATGTTTCTCTTACCCAGTGAGGCTCTAATTGCTTTTATTTTATCAGTTTTGTTTTATTCAAGGTTACATAAGATGTGAGATAGGCAAAAGAAAATTATCTTAATGTTGACTATACTAATTTTTGTAATATTTAAAGTATGTTTAAGTGACAAAAATAGCAAGTATAAAATCAAGACACAAATTTCCACTAAATTCCCTAGAAGCATTTACATTTTCCTTAGCCTGAAAATGTTATTTCAATTATTTATGTCCACTGGTTTTAAATGTTTGGAAGCCATCATAAAAATCTATTGAGAAATTATAACATATCAGGACCTCTGTTAAGAATTTTTTGAGTGAAGTTGGGGATAGTGGCACAAGTCCACAATCTCTGTACTCTGGGAAGTGGAGGCAAGAAGACTGCGAGATTGAGCCTAATGTGAGCAATTTCATAACTTCAAGACACACTTTATCAAAATAAAAGTGAAAAATAAAAAAGGGCTGGTTATATAGGTCAGTGTGAAGGGAGTTCTCTATCACATCACTAAATGTTTCTAAAATCCTGTGAAATGTAAATAAGTAATGCTGTATTTACATTTATTGGGTAATAGGTAAGCAAAATAATCTCTGTACATCTCACAGTTGTTATCAGTCAATATGGAAATATCCACTACATGGGTGAACTACAAGCCTACAGTTGTAATAATAAATACACATAATGACACTCAATGTGTGGTCTGGTAGGTTCTAAGATTAAAGCAAAGACTTTGCCCACAATCAGCAGATAACTATGAATAGAAAGTAACATGATTATGAGAGAATTTTCAGGAGTATGTAATTACGTATTCTCTCTTTGAAATCTGGCAAATAAGTATTAAAAATTATTTGAAAATATAATGAACAAGAACTCAGCAACCATCAAAGCCCTAGAAAAGGAATAGTGTGTGTGTGTGTGTGTGTGTGTGTGTGTGTGTGTGTGACTTTGAAATTAAAGGAGAAAAAAACAAATTAAGAGTTATTAAATATGTGATTTGTGGTGACAGGGATTGGCTATTTGCACTTGAGTCAGTATTAACAATTGACCAATGAAACATTTAACATAAGAAATGAAGGTGTCATGTGGAACTTACCAATTAACAAAAAGAAATATGCCAGGGAGATAAGTAAAAGATGAACTAAATTACTAAAGAATTTTGATCAAATTCTAGTTCACATCCAAAATACCTACAATTATATTCAAAGAGGTTGGGATAGATATATAGTTGCATTCTCTTAATGAATAGAATGATTTGTTCTAATGGTGTTTGTGAATAGGATCACAAGTCCGCATCTTGTACAGCAATTAACCACTAAGAAGAATATATGCAGTGTATTATTTGTTGAAACTGTCCTTCCGATTTGATTTGAAACTGTCTCATTGCTATCTCTTTGTCAATAAAACTTTGAAAAAAAATACCTACAATTAGTCTAGCTGAATTATACAAACAAATTTTACCACTGTCAAGAAAAAATGTCACAACTTTGGAAGAATACCTATATGGCAAGTATTTAAAAGTCGGTATGATTCCAGATATTACAAGATTGAATATGAAATGGATGTTTCATAATAGGATTGTATATATCCAGCATAAATAATACATATGTTGTATTATTTCCCCACGTAATGTTGCCTGTAATCTAGTTACATACTTAACGTCTATTGTATGTCAGTTATTGTCTTCCATGAATTTGAAGGCATGAAGTCTGTGCGCAAAAATAACCGAATGCTCAAGAAATGTATTTATTTATATGTATTTGGTACAGGGTCTACAGGTTCCACAGGGCCTCACTACATAGATCGGACTCATAGTGATCCTCCTGTTTTCAGCCTCCCAAGTGCTGAGATTATAGGTGTGTGCCACCATGCCCAGTCTCAATAGCACAGCAAACCAGGGACCAAGCCCCGGGCTCTGCTCTCTGCCTAAACAGTCACTTTAGTCTGCTGAGCTATCTGGCCAGCAATAAATTTAGAGAAAGAAAAAATTAATTGTTTTTGCATTTTAATATAGGAGGTACACAATCAAACTGATAAAAATTTTGAAACTGAGTAAGACTTTTAGATTCCACAGCCACAATCCTGAAGAGGTACCACTTGTAAGTTCATCCGAGACAGGATACAAACACATTCCATAATATAAAGTAACTGAAAAAAAAATAAAAAATAAAGTAACTGAGCATATTATGCTGCATCTGAGAAGATATCTTATTGACTACTACGAGTGGAGTGGTGCGCTACATGGCCATGCATGGTGTATACTCAGTTTGACAATTGTAGCTTCTCCTTGACGCTTGTAGAAAACTCGTAGACTAAGGTTGCATTTCACCCCTATTCACACCTTCATGTCCAGTCAGATGGCTTTCTAATTTTTGGTCAATTATGACTTTCTCAAATAGTCTTTTAGCATGACACAAATGATTATTGAAAACTAACAGCATAATCATGCCAATGACCTAGTTGTTGGTTTTAATAGGATCTTAGTCACTCTTATCATTCCTGGAACAAGAAAGACCCCAGACTGAAAGGAAATATATGTTTTGGTTTATGTTTCAGCCTGAGATCAGTTGGCTCCCAAGGAGTAACAGCATGGCATTGGCAGAAGGGCATAATGGAGGAAAAGCAGTCCTCATCATGCTTGCAGAAGAGAGCACCAAAGGAGGAGTCAGAAAGGGAGACACATCTTTTAGGCCATGCCCATCCCGACCCTTCTTCTGTGACCAGGCACCACCTCCCAACACCACGCATAGCTGCAGCTGAGTTCATGCCCCAGGATCTGGTCTCCTCCCAAACACTGCACCCTGGAGCCCAGGAGGTTTTGAGGGGATGTCTGCATGTGAGGAAGGCATAGCGCACAAGTAAGTGTCAACAGAGAGGGCTCATACTCACTCTGTGGTAAGCTCTGAAAGAGCTTATCATTAGGAGAAAATACACTGTATTTTTGGATGAGATCAAACAGCAGAATCTGATTAAGACACTAGCCAGGACTATGACTGGATATTTATCCAACATTGGGTGGTAGAAGGAAACTAATGCCACAGGATAGCTATGGCAACTTGCAGCATTCCAGGACACTAAAGGTGGTATCTGAAGCTCTGCTCAAGTTTCATAAGCAGCTGAAGCTGCTGCTAAATGACTGTCAAGACTATTTTGTTTTATTGAGGTGTTGTGACATGCTATGTATATGCCCTATAGTTGAGCTGTATCCCAAGCCCAGAATTTTCTTCAGAATGCCAGATTTCTAAAAAATAAAATACTCATTACTGTTGGGGTTAGTACAATTTCTAAGGGATCATATTTTCCCTAGTAAAAAACCTTCAAGAATAGTGAGAGAGCTGGGCATGGTGGTGCATGCCTGTAATCCCAGCACTTAAAGACTGAGGCAGAAGGACTGTTGTACATTGTTGGTTCTTGTGAAATTTCAGTATTCAGTCTCCATTTGATGCTATTACTGTTGCTGATTTACTTGCTATTGGTAGAGTCAATTAGTTGCTGTATTAAAAGATTTTTTTCTCTATTGGTATATCAGTCATCTTGGTGCATTTAACAAACATGCAATCCATTGCTAGAGAACTTGGTGCTGGAGCAAATATTCTGCAATCTACTTTCTCAGATTAATGGAGGTGATCAGATTTGGAGACAGGTAAAAACGTATGTCCAGCATATGTCACTCAACAAAAAACACTAACCAAACAGCTCTCTATACTAGAAACAAAATATTTCTACTATAATTGCCTATATAACACAGCACAGGATAAACCAAAACAAAAACAAAAGAAACATGGGAAAACAAGACAATAAAATGCCTCCCCAAACTTCCAAACTTCCCAATTTTGATCCAAGGGGCATTAAAGGGGAGAAAATCAAAAGCTGCCCATAGGAGTTATTCAAAAGAATAAGAGATAAAACAGATCAATGAACTATTCTGAGCTCAAAGAAAATATAGTCAAACAAATAATGGACATTGTAGATAAAACCATCAGCCATTTCACAGAAGAAACTAATAAAAATTTGGTGAGCTAAAAAATGTTTTTAAAAGGGACCAGTGAGATGGCTTAGTGGAATAAGTGCTTCCCTGGTAAGCACAAGGGCCTGAGTTCAATCCCCGGTTCTGAAAAAAAAAAAAATGTTAAAAAAAAAAAAAAGTTTGAATGGCCAGTGTTGGAAAATTACAGTTCATGAAAATGTTTCAAACAGAAATACAGGAACTTAATTTTGAAATTTCTTTTGAAAGTGTGAACAAGTGCAATGACCAATGTGAGGACAGTGTCAGAATTGGAAGAGGGCTATTGTCAGAAACTGATTATTAAGAAATAGCTTAAAACAACAAAAAAAAAGAGAACAAAGGCTAATAGATGATGAAAGATATACTAACCTAAGAAGAATTGGAATTAGGGAAAAAGCAGAAGATAGCACAAATGATATAAAAAATTATTTAACGTGATAACAGCAGATAGTTAATAAATATAAAGAAAGAATAAAGCATGCAGGTAAGCAAGGCACATACACCCCAGATACGCGCAGAAACAAAGACTCTGTCCATGACACATCATAGTGAAAATCTCAGAAGTCAAAATGGAAACAGAATTCTAAAATTTGTTAGAGAAAAAGCAATGAATCACTTATAAAGGCAAAACCATCAGAATTACAGAAAATTTATTAGCATCAGCCTTATAGTCCAGGAGAGCTTGTAGTGAAGTGCTTCAAGTCTGAAAGGAAAATGCGAAGAACTTCTATATCCCTAAAAAGTATGTTTCAGTATGAGAGAGAAATAAGATATTTCCACAATGAATAAC